ACTGGGAAGTGACTGGAGAATTCTGGGACATGAGCAGTCGGACCTCAGAGTAGGCATTGGGTCCTGGGGAGGAGGGTGGGAGGTAGCCCCTTTGTTCCCACCCCTATCTTATCATTTTCCTGTATTTAAAAATATATTTTTTATTGATTTTAAAGGAGAAGGGAGAGAGAGAGAAACATCAGTGATGAGAGAGAACCATTGATTGGCTCCCTCCTACATCCCCCACACTGGGGATTAAGCCCACAACCTGGGCATGTGCCCTTGACTGGAATTGAACCCGGGACCCTTCAGTCCACAAGTCAACACTTTATACACTGAGCCCAACTGGGTAGGGCCCCTCAGACCATATTGTGTTGATTTTTCCATTGGTCTCTACGTAAAAGTTTAGCTTTTACTTGGCTTTGCTGTAATGGGACTCAAGGATCAATGGTTTCTATAAACTCAATAATAAAAGAACTAGAGGAAAGTGATATAATTATCGTTGTCATAGACTTGGAGATTAAATGCTTATTTTGCATAAAAACATTTATATAGAAAAATCACAGGTTTCAGAATTAGTGTTTCTTGGATCAGATTGCTTTAGTAAAGAAATATGTTTTTTCTCTTTGCTTAGGAATCTTGGGTTTGGTAGCTTGTCTTTTGAATGTGGTCTAGATTATGGGAAATATCAAAAGAGATTTGCAAGACCTGCTATTTAAGAAAGGAAAGCTTATGTATGACTTTTTGTGTTTGTTTGTCAGAATTTCTCATAGAATCATAAAATTTTAGCACTGTAGAGTACCGAGTGATTTTCCTGTGGTCATAAAACTAGTTAATGACAAAGACAGGACACTAAAACCCATATTCCTGAGCTAAAATTTGTGAGGACATAAAATGTGCATTTTTGTGACTTTAAAAATTGTTTTATAAAACTTTTCACTGAATTTTTTTTTAAATCCTCACCAGACGATATCTTTTTATTGATTTTAGAGAGAGAGGGAAGGGACAGAAAGTGAAACATCGAGATACATCAGTCATTCTCTGTCTCTCCCATTTTTGGGGGGAGGCAACCTAATTTTTGGAGGGCTTGCTTTGGCAAGGCTAAAAAAAAACGTGGCGGGGAGATACATCAGTCAGTTGCCTCCGTATGTGCCCCGGCCAGAAATCTAACCCACGACCTTTGGGTGTATGGGGCGATGCTCCAACCAACTGAGCCACCTGTCCTGGGCTCTTTGTACTTTGCAATTTTTAATTTTATTTTGCAGTGATCTTGAGCTCACTTTTGTTTTCTCCAGGATACAAGGCAGACCCATGTGCTCATGTTTCTGATGTATAGAAATATTAGAGGCAAAAAATATATAGTTAATATTTTGTTTTAGATAAATATAAGGCATATTATAATTTATCTAAAATTGTATTTTTATATTCTTCCCCTAATAACAAAATTTTTGTTTGTTTTTGTGTTAATCCTCACTCAAGGATATTTTCCATTATTTTTAAAGAGAGTAGAAGAGAGAGGGAAAGATAGAGAGAAACATTGATGTAAGAGAAACACATCAATTGGTTGCCTCTTGCACGAGTCCCAACCAGGGCCCAGACCAGGGAGCAGCCTGCAACCAAGGTACGTGCCCTTGATCAGAATTGAACCCAGGACCCTTTGGTCCACAGGCCAAGCTCTATCCACTGAGCCAAACTGGCTAGGGCACAACAGAATTTTTTTATTAAATATTTTTTGAACTAGGCATTATCTACAGGTGAAAGATTTTCAACCTGTGTTGAGATGCTTTCCTTTTTCTCTTTGGGTTTTTGGAAACTATTTCCCAAAAGTAGATAAAAATTGTGCTCACCAATATCCCTGTAAAGTAGGGAAATAATAGAAACTCCTAAGCATCGTTTTAATTTTTTTTAATATATTTTATTGATTTTTTACAGAGAGGAAGGGAGAGAGAGATAGAGAGTTAGAAACATCGATGAGAGAGAAACATCGATCAGCTGTCTCCTGCACATCTCCTACTGGGGATGTGCCCGCAACCCAGGTACATGCCCTTGACCGGAATCGAACCTGGGACCTTTCAGTCCGCAGGCCGACGCTCTATCACTGAGCCAAACCGGTTTTGGCTCGTTTTAATTTTATATATAAATATAAAGGAGGTTTTCTTCAGTGTTTTTAAGACAAATACCAGAGATCTATATTCACTTAGATTTTGATCTAATAACTTAAATGTCTTATTCCTTCCTCTTGTAGTGAAGACTCAGAAGAAAAAGATGTGAAGACCAAGAAGGATGATTCTCACTCAGCAGGTAATAAATAGTATTTCTTTTTATGTACTTATTTAGTGGACATTTTAGTAAGTGGTTTTATAGTAATGCCTGGCATTGTTGTAAATATTGGCATTACAAAGATGCTTCCGTCTCTGAAGAGCTCATAGTGATTTTTCAATCCGGGTGGCTTATTAGAGTCACCTGTGAAGGTGGGGTTTTTTTTG